TAGGTGCTACCCCTCTGATGTCTCATGGCTGCTTGATCCAAGGGGTGCATCTCACTAGAGTAGGTGAGTGCATTGACCTGGGGTAGGTGTTCTGTATGTAGGTCTTCCTACTGTTGGGCTGAGAGCCAATCTATGTAACTGAGTTCATTTCTAGAGTCAAAGGGTAACATGGGGCCACAGTCTTGGGGATTCCACCAGTGTCTTTCCAACCAGTAATTCTGGTCATTTTTGTGTTTTTGAATTTTGTTCTACATTTTTCCTTCCACTCTGTCCAGGATCTCCAGGTTTAATCCCTTTCCAAGTGGTTGGCATTGGTAGCCAGGCACCGTGTAGTCCTTCTGGCCTCGGGTTGTGAAGGCTGAGGTCTTCGTGGTCTATCTTATCTTTGACTGATTGTTTCCAGATAACTTTGATTTTCTTTACTCTTCTTTTCTCCAGCCAAGAGGAGACAAATAGTTGCATCTTAGATGGCCACTTGAAATCTTTTAAGACCCCAGTTGCTACTCACCAAAGTAGGTTGGAGAACAAAATTTTTATGAACTCTGTGTGCCAGTTGAACATGATGTCCCCTGAGACTATGGTCCCGAGCCCTCAAACCTGATGATTCTCTCTCACAAGGTGTTTGGTTGTCTCTGCAAAGTTACTTCCACCCTGTCTTCTGTTGCTTCTGTAATGATGTGGCTAATTTTGTAGCATAAGTGTATATCTAAGATTATCTTCAGCCAAATCTATCCTTGGTCTAGGGTGTATTCCTGTTCGCCTACTCCCACCTGCTCTTCTCACTGTTTATGCATTAATCCATAGCCTGAGATTTGGACTAGTGATACTGCAGTGTTGTGCCTGTAATAGTATTTGCCTCTGTTGTCTGTATCTTTTGTGTACATTTCAGTGCCTTTCCTTTCCCCAGTGTCACCGTGCTGGTAGCAGACTCTTTCAATACCGTTCCTCCCCTCACCCAAATCTACATGTGCTATGTGTATAGCAACTCTTATGCAAAGACGACGCAAACATAGATGCTTTTAGAAGGTAATCATTCTTAATCTACAGGTTCAGTTTAGACAAATATGAGCTCCTGTATAATATTACCAAATACAGGAGAAAACAAGTCACCATAAGGGAGTCAGTCATTAGAACTGAAACAACAGGTCTAATTCTCCAATATTTCTGATATTGAAATGATCCGATGAAGAATAATACAAGGTGTCATGATACTATATTATATATATCACAATGGGCTTCAATTTGCATGTGGTGAGAAAATCTTTCTCCACCCTGAACTCACACCTTTTGAGAACCTAAGCTAACATCTCAGAATGCTTCTAATAAGCCCCTTAGGGAAGGTGGTAAAAGTCTCATAGAATATTTGGAAGTTTGTCAGTGGAGCCACTCAGAGATGCAAATGCCCAAACGAACAGCCCCACTCTTGATATAGATTAGTAGGACAGGGCCTGACACCTCTCACTGGGACTGGAAAAAGTCAGGCCCAGGTGTCAAGTTCAGACTTCCTGTCTCAGCCACCCAGGAAGGAAGATGAGCTCATCTGGTTGGGTGCTTGACTCTCAGCCTCTTGGGGAGCAGGACACCTGGGGTGAACAGCTGTCTGCAGGCGGGGTGGAATTTGACCCAGTCATGAGGATATGAGGAAGCCAAGGAAAGGAAGGCTGGGATAGATGAGCAGAGAGAGAGAAGCTTCAGAGAACACGTTGAGAGCAGTGCTGGAAAGGTATTTCTTTTGCCTCATTTATTGAGAAAACAACACTCAGGCCTTATCCAGCATGATGAAGAAGCAAGCCCTTGGCCTTCTTACTGCCATGCCTTCCTGGGATAGGCTGCTGCCACCTCTTCTGTCCTTGGCCAGCTGCCCTCCTCTCTGGGTGAACTTCCTCTGTGGTCAAGCAGTTGCTCCAAAGTACAGGCTTTGAATAGCTTGCTAATAATGTAAATGAGATGCATGGCACCCTTGTGGGGGTGGAGCCATGGAAATAATGTGTATGGAACCCTAAAGTGGGGATTGGTTAGTTTTGCCATCTTGCTGTGGTTCAAACCCACTAAGCTACTCCTTGGGAGGAAGATGGGGCAATCCACTTCCATAGTGATAGTGCCTCAGAAACCTAAGGAGCGGCTGCTACGAGTTGGGTCTGACTTGATGGCACGTAACAACAACAACACGTTTAAAATGAGCATTCCAGAGGCAGAACAGGGGAATCTCACTGCCATGAAGAAAGGCGAACCAGGAGAGGAGCACGTCCTTGAACCTGCGATCCCCGCACTGAGCTGACAGAGAGACAACAGAGAGTCAGTGACAACAGAGCAGCAGACTTCCGGGCCCATGGAGTGAGAAAGCTGAGTGCCTTCAGGCAGCAGATTGTTGGCAGAGTGGGGTGCCTCTCTGGGCACCTATTGGCAAAGCTAAAAGAACTTTGTAACACTTGCCTGAGCAGGGCAGCAGCCGAGGCCAGAGAGAAGTGTGCCTGAGGCACAACTGAGAAGCTATCCTGATTGAAGAACTGTGTCTTCAGTCATTTCTGAATCTGAATTGTAACCTTCCCTAATGAACCACATAATTGTGAAGATTGTCTGTGGCTTCTGTGTGGTTACTTCAAGGAACTATCAAACCCAGCAGAGAAGCAGAGACTGCCCTGGGAGGAAGGTTGGTGTCAGAGTTGGCAAAAAGGTTGGAGGATGGTGGCATGTCTGACCTCTCATAGGAACCAGCCTTGGGCTGATGCTGCTGGTCATGAAGTTAGAGGAAGTCAGACACTGTTGCCACACCCTTCTGCAAGGCCCATGGGGAGGAGCACTCAAGGAAGGAGAACCTGTGCTTCCCCTTTAAAAGGGCAACTTGTACCCACTCTCTTCACTTCTCTACCCTCACTAACTTCAGGGCTGCAGTAAGTGCTTAAACCAGCATATGAGGAATCATGTTGTTGTTGTTGTTATGTGCCGTCGAGTCGGCCCCAACTCATAGCGACCCCTCCTTGGGTTTCCGAGGTGGAATCATAGACTACAGATATTTAAGGGCACCAGGGCTTCTCCTCTCAGCTCTTAATTGAAACACAATTGCTGGAAAATGCAAGCCTAGTTCTAGTGGCTACTTTATTTATTTTAGATCTTCCTCTCCACCTCAGAAAGTGGGAGGATTAGGCAAGCCTTGGATAGAATTACTTGAAACTATAAAGGACATTTCCCAGCAATGTGACTATGGGTGGGTAGGGTGGAGAGAGGGGTGGTGTTCAGGACAGATGATGATAGATATGGTAAAAGTTGAGCTGAGAGAGCTGGACTGAGCTGCCAGGTGTCTGAGCAGCCAACTAAGAAAAGGAGCCACCACAAAAGTAACGGTCAAGACTTTAGTTATTTAGTATATACTTTGTTTGTTTGTTTGTTTGCAATAGTGTAGGAGTCATGGGGTGGTGCGAATGGTTGGCACTCTTGGCTGATAACTGAAAGGTTGGAGGTTCAAGACCACCAAGTGGCACCTGAGAAGAAAGGCCTTATGATCTACTCCTGCAAGTCAGCCACTTACAACCCTATGGAGCAATGTTGAACTCTGTAACACATGGAGTTGCTATGAGTTGGAGTCAACTTGGCGGCAACTGGTTTAACCTGGACTAAGCGCCAACTCCTCCCTGTCCGTATTTCTCAGGAATGGTGTCTGAGCAAGGGGGTAGGTGGATCAGTGACGATGTGGGGATCTGCTTCACTACCAGTGAAGGTCTGAGGTGAAGCTCCTTTTGCTGTGAGGACTGTGACCCAAATGGCACAAAGTGAAAAAATTCAAGCATGTCATTGTTGTGCATGACGTATTTAAAAGAGACAACATCATTTCTCCCTTTCCCTCAGAGGTTTTTTCTTTCTTTCTTTAATTGTTGTAAGTACATATATAAAAAAATACTTGCCATTACAACCTTTTTTACAGAAGTAGCAACCTTCCTTGCAAGGAGTGGCTGGTGGATTTGAACCACCAGCCTTCCGGTTAGCAGTCAAATGCCTTAGGCACTACACCACCAGAGCTCCCTGTGCAATTTAGTAACATTAATTATATTCATCATGCTGTGTAAGCATCATCACTATCTGTTCTCAAGTTTCTCCATCACTCTTAACAGAAATTCAGTTTTAATTAACAACACACTATTATTCAAAATAGACAACATTATTCCTCTCAGACAGTTTCACCCCTGCCCCCTCCCCCCAATGTAGTTTCTTGAGGTTTCATCTCCCCACAGGAGATGACCTGAGCAGTCCTGAAGAGAAGACTGAAGGACTACACTCCCAAAGTGCAGTCTCAGGAAGTCTCAGCCCCTGAGAGAGGTTGGGAGGGCAGGGAGCCAGTGAGGCAGAGAAGAGGAGGAGGAAGAAGGATGAAACTGAGCACTGGGTCCAGGTAGGCTGCCATTTCTCCTCAGCTCTGTGGACTCAGGGCTGGTGTCCTCCCTGGGCAGAGAAGACATCCAACTTAGGCCCTCGAAGCAGGAACTCACCACAAAATTCCTCTTTTGGGCAGTGCTCCCAAGTGGGCAGAGTCATCAATGCCCAGCTTCTACAGCTCAAGAAAAGGAGGAGTTGAAGAGTTTGTCTCAGGAATGTCAGAACCCAAGCACTTGGTGGGTTTCCATCTCTGCCTCTCTCTCACATGCCGCTGTGTCTCTGTGTGTGTTGGTCCCAGGCCCTGCACTGGAGTTGTTCCAGTAACAGGGACATAGCTGTTCACCGAGAGCCCCAACCACAAGCCCTGCCTTCTCTGGTGGGTTGGGGTGTATGCTACCAGAAGATGTGGGAATAAGGTGTTGTCACTCCATGGGCGATAATGCCTCTGGGAAGGCCCCGGCTGTGTCTGGAGCTGTGCAGAGTGGACAGGATGCCCAGCCAACTCTGGGGTCGGAGTAGAGGCCAGGCCCTCAGCCTTGGTCATGTGTCAGAGGACTCAGGGCATGTTTTTCTCTCAGGCACCTGTCTCTACTGTAAGTCAGGTCCAGTGCTGTAAAGTTCTGCTCTTCCATCTAAGGGGCTGTGTTTTTGGTCAGAGGGTGTAAGGACAAGACCGAATAGTCAGGCTGACCCCAATGCTCCTCGGGGACCCTCCAAGGCCCCTTCATCCAGAGAAGAGCACCAAACAAGATGAGCAGGATAGGCAGCTTCACAAATGCCAGGAGCAGGTAGTAGGTCCTGTGAGAGGGGCAAAGTGGTTGGAGCAAGACCTGGAGGCCTTGATTTCCCACAGATCCGTTACTCCTCATGTCTCCAATACTGTGGAGACATTACCAGCTCAGCCCAGAACCTAGAACCTCAGCTGGTTTTGTACTGGCCCACCTTCCTTGCGAATTTCATATCTGGGACTCCCCTTCACCCAACATACATTTCAGCCCAACAGAAGTGCTGAAAACCAGTTGTTGTTGATTCAGCTCTGACTCATGGCAACCCCATGTGTATAAGGGCAGAACCATGCTCCATAGCGTAGTGCCTAAGACACTTGACTGCTAACCAGAAGGCTGGCGGTTGAAACCCACCAGCCACTCCTCGGAAGGAAGATGAGGCAATCTACTTCCGTAGTGATACTGCCTCAGAAACCCAAGGAGGGGTCGCTATGAGTCGGGTCCAACTCGACAGCACATAACAACAACAACAACAACAACAACAACAATATGCTCCATAGAGTTTTCAATGGCTGATTATTCAGAAGCAAATTGCAGGATTTTCTTCCAAGTCACCCAGGGGTGGACTTGAACCTCCAACTTTTCAGTTAGCAGACAAATGTGTTAGCTATTTGCACCATCCAGGGACTCCAATAGAAACACTTCAATCCATTGCTGTAGAGTTGGTTCCAACTCATAGTGACCCTATCGGACAGGGTAGAACTGCCCCCATAGGGTTTCCAAGGCTGTAATCTTTAGGAAAGCAGACTGCCGCATCTTTTGCCCATAGAGTGGCTGGTGGATTTGAACCACTGACCTATCAGTACGCAGTCAAGTCTTTAACAACTGCACCACCAGAGCTCCCTTATAGAAGAACTTAGAGCTCCCCAAATATTGGCTACATTTTCCTGCCTCTGTGCTTTTCTTATTCCTGCTAATGCTAGCTCCAGGTCACTTTCTTCAACCACTGATTCTCCTCAACTAATTCTCCCTACTCTGTGGCACTGAATATGCTGCCTCATGGAGATTTGTGCCTTACTTCTCTTTGGTGCTCACTAGATCATCAAGTTTATTGGCCAATTGAACGGGTGGATGATATATAGAGAAGGGTTCTCCAGAGAGAGATTCTACTGAGGGATCAAGTGAGAAGATGGTGGATAAGGAGTAGTAACTGACAGGGTGGCTCAGGGCCTTGACTTGGGTTACACTAGGCTCTGGTGGGAATCAGGCCACAGCACAGAGATGTTGTGGACAGCATAGTGTCTCCCAAAAGGATATGTTCTAGCCCTAACCTCTGGTACCTGTGAACATGATCTTGTTTGGAAAGAAGGTCTTTGAAGATGTTATCAGTTAGCATGAATTCATAGAGGAGTAAGGTGGGTCCTAATCCAATAATCTTTAAAAGAGGAGAAGAAATACAGAGAAAGATGCAGATGGAGGGAAGACAACCATGTGAAGATGAAGGCAGAGGTTGAAGTGATGCATCTACAAGCCGAGGAACACTGCCTGTCTCCAGAAAGTGGGAGAGAGGCATGGAACAGATTCTTCCTCAGAAGGAATCCACATGGCCAACACCCTGATTTCAGACTCCCTGCCTCCAAAACTGTGAGACAACAAATTTCTGTGCGTATAAGCACCCCAATTCGTGGTACTCTGTTACAGCAGCCCATATTAGAAAACTGATAGTGTGGCAGAAGGGGTCCCCAGCCTTGGCTTCCTCCTAGGAGGAGCCTCAGGTAGGGTCACGAGAAGGGATCACAGGGACTCACCTGGTGGCCAATGGCACGGAGGACAGGTTTGGTGTAGCTGGAGCTGTTTTCATTAGACACAGGCAAAGTTGTTCACAGGTTATTGACTTAAAATTGGAGGATTGTAAACAGCTGACAACACCACCCCTGCCCCACCAGATAAGAAATTTCCTACCTGGGCTAACAATCACTTTAACTTGGAATCCAAGGTCAGGTCCCCTTTTCTCAATGCCACACCAGTATGTGTCGTTGTCGTTTCTGCGAAGCTTCTCCATGGTCACCGTGAAGAAGTGGTTGGTGTGATTGTCTCTGATAGTCAGTCGGTCTTTCTTCACTTCTTGCTCTGATCCTGTGCTTTGAATGAGTATCCTGCAGAAATCCCAAGTCTTTCCTTGGCACCACCACTTGTTGTAGGTCTCCCACCTTGCATCATAGAAACACTTCACAGTCACTGAGCCCTGCTCTGGACCACTTACGCATTGCGGACCTTCGATGGAGAAGCATCCTGGAAAACAGAATCCCAAGAGAGAGCCCACTAACCCTGAGTCAGGTCAGCCAAAGAGCCTCACAGGGCTCATGGAACCCTAGCCCTTTGTCCAGGGGCTGAACAGCTTCCCTGCCCCTGGCCATCCCAGCCACCACCTAACATACCTGACTCCTCACACTCCCTCTCTCTTCAATGTCTCTTCCTCATTTGCCTCCTCAGTGACAGCACTTGGGCCTCCGTGGGTCCCTGTCTTCCTAGACCTGCTTGCAGCATGAGATTCTCTCCTTCCTTGTCCTGTCAAAGTTGTTTTCATCTCATCTCCTCCTTCTTTGCCTCCTCTCCCTCAGAGGGCTTGGCTTATTCCTCTTTTATTCTCCTCTCATTAAATGTGGGTGCAACCAGTGGCTTGTTGGTTAATATTTAGCAACAGGCTGTGTGGGAGGAACAAGTCTTTGTTTCCAGTGTTTGCCAATTCCTGTTGTGTAAATACTTTACCATGGCTGCTTTCAGGCTGTCAACATGATGTCACTGAATGCAGAGTTGAAAGAGATGTCTATAATCAGCTCTTGTGAGCTGCTACAAGCTGGCTCTTGCACACCACAGGAGTGCCCGTGATTCTCTCTCCAACCTTCATCTCACTTCAGTTCATGTGCCCTTGAGTATTTCCATCCATTCCCATGGCTTCAAGTATTACCTATATACTGATGAGTCTCAAATATATGTCTGTAGCCCAACTCCTCCCCTTAACCCTAGCCCATCATTTACAAATACACAGAGTATCTCTATCTCAAACTCCATAGTTACAGAGCTAAACTCACTACCTCTTCCATGATAAATTTACTTTTCTTCCGTATTTTCTTTCTACCAGATCGTTCATGTAGGGAGGACAACAAAGGCCTAATGAACAGGTTAGAGATGATTATAAATTGACTGAATACCATGTTAAATTGGCTGATTCCTGTTAAGTTGTCCATTTTCCAATAAGTTTTCTTTTCTTGGTGACGACCACACATGTCTTGGTCAGTTGGAAGTAAACAAATGGACAGAGAATCACAGTGGAAGTCTCTCTTGACACACACAGCTTCAGAGTCTCTGGGGCAGGCTGGAGTCTCTGCATGGTGAAGGAGTCAGGACCACTGCACCATCCACATATGTACAAATGATGGGACAGCAGTGTCAATCATTCAGTCTCTTCAACCCACTTCACAAGAGGGAGAGAGAATCACATCAGCACCAGCCCAAGGCTGATTCCTATGAAGTGGAGGTCAGGCATACCTCCTATCACCACCTTTTTTTTTTTTTTTTTTTTAAACTCATTCTGATACCACCCACCCCCTCCACAGTACTCTCTACTTCAGTAATTTGATATTCATTGCAAGTGCCACACAGAACTTACAGATTAAATTCACAATTATGGGGTTTATTAGGGAAGTAACAGGTTAGAATTCAGGATCAGGAATGACTCAGGATACAGTTCTTTGGTTACAACAGCTTCTCAGCTGTGCTTATACAAGGGCCAGTCATGGCCCTCAGCCTCTCAGCCCCTCAGCTCCTCAGGCAGGCCAGGCCTCTACCCTGCTCAGTATACAGAGTATACTGTATACTTATACTGCATAAGTATACTTATACTATGTACTTATAAGTATACAGAGCTCTTTAGCTCCACCAATAAGTACCCACAGGCACCCCACTCTGCCAACAAGTCTCCTACCTGAAAGTGCTCAGCTCTCTTGCCCCATGGATCAGTGAACTTAGCTCTCCTGACAAGTGCCCAGTGGCTCCCCACTCCACCAGCAACCCTAATGCCTGAACACACTCAGCTTTCTTGCTCCATGGGCTGGGAAATCCACCAGGCTGACTCCTGCCAGTCTCCTAGTTCTGCTGTCTCTGCTGTCACCATTTCTTTCCTGCTGCTTCTCAGTGTTTCACCACCTCTTGCCATCTCTAGTGTTACAGCGCTCTCTCTTTCTCTATGTCTCTGTCTGTCTCCTGGGTCTAGGAGGTTCACAGCTCAAGGATCCCAGGTCTAAATGATACATTCCTCTTCTGTCTCTTCTCCTTGGTGGTGGTGAAACACTCCCCCCACCCAGTCTGTCTCTGAGATGGCTCATTTTAAGTCTAGCAGCATGACAAAATTGACTAATCCTTCATTAGAGTTCTATACAGTTTATTCATACAATCCTACTCCCATAATGTACCAAAAAGAACTGGTTGATCTTCATCCATTTCAGGAGGTGGTATATGTTCAAGAACCAATGGTAATAAAGGAAGAAGTTGAAGCTGCACTGAAGGAATTGGCGAAGAACAAGGCTCCGGAAATTGGTGGAATATTCACTGAGATGTTTCAACAATGGATGCCCCACTGGAGGCACTCACTCTGTTATGCCAAGAGATTTGGAAGACAGCTACCTGGCCAACCAACCGGAAGAGATCAGTATTTGTACACATTCCAAAGAAAGGTGATCCCACAGATTGTGGAAATTATCAAACAACATCATTAATATTGCAATGAAGATAATTCAAAAACAGTTGCAGCAGTATATTGACAGAGAAATTCCAGATATGCAGGCTGGATTCAGAAGAGGACATGGAACAAGGGATATCATTACTGATGTCAGATGGATCTTGGCTCAAAGCAAAGAATACCAAAAAGATGTTTACTTGTGTTTTATTGACTATGCAAAAGCATATGATTGTGTGGATTATAACAAATTGTGGATAACATTGAGAAAATGGGAATTCCAGAACACTTAATTGTACTCATGAGGAACTTGTACATAGACCAGGAGGCTGTCATTCAAACAGAGCAAGGGGACACTGCGTGGTTTAAAAATCAAGAAGGGGGAGTGCATCAGGGTTGTATCCTTTCACCATACTTATTCAATCTATATGCTGACCAAATAATCCAAGAAGCTGGACTATATGAAGAAGAACATGGCATCAAGATTGGAGGAAGAATCATTACCAACCTGCAATACACTGATGACACAACTTTGCTTGCTGAAAGTGAGGATGACTTGAAGCACTTACTGATGAAGATTGAAGAATACAGTCTGTAGTATGGATTATATCTCAATATAAAGAAAACAGAAATCCTCACAACTGGACCTATAAGCAGTATCACAATAAGTGGAGAAAAGATTGAAGTTGTCAAAGAATTCACATTGCTTGGTTCTACAATTGACGCCAATGGAAGCAGCAGTCGGGACATCAGACGACATATAGCACTGGGCAAGTCTGCTGCAAAGGGCCTCTTTCAAGTGCTGAGGAGCAAAGATGTCTCCTTAGGACTAAGGTGTGACTGACACAAGCCATGATATTTTCAATTGCCTCATGTGCGTGTGAGAGCTGGACAATGAATAAGGAAGACTGAAAAAGAATTGATGCTTTTGAGTTGTGGTGCTGGCAAAGAATACTGAAAGTATCATGGACTGCTGAAAGAGCTAACAAATCTGTCCTGGGGGAAGTACAGCCAGAATACTCCTTAGAAGTGAGAATGGCCAGACTTCATCTCACCTGCTTTGGTCATATTATCAGAAGGGACCATTCCCTGGAGAAGAATGTCATGCTTGGTAAGGTGGAGGGTCGAAAAAAGAGGGGAAGACCCTCAACAAGATGAATTGGCAGTGGCTACGGCGATGGACTCAAGTATAGCAGAGATTGTGGAGCTGGCATAGGGTCACTATGAGTCAGAGATGACTCGACGGCACCTAACAACAACACCCCCATAATGATGCCATGCTCCTTAGTTGCATTATTAGTAAGCTATCTAATCATCCTGGTGGACCACAAGCACCTCATTTTTCCAAAGCACTAGTTCAAACCTGGTCATTTGGTGAGAGTTACAAGACCATGGTAAGAAATGTCTTGTAAAAGTGATCCATCACACTGCAACATGCTGCCTCCTCATCCTTTGGTACCTTCTCCCTGAGCCACTTTAGTTTACTTGAGGTTGGCATTTATAGTTAAATAGGATAATGTTCTCCCTAAAAGAGGTCCATGAATCCCCAGAACCTGTGAATATGTACCTTATGTGGCAAAAGAGACTTTGTAGACATGATTAAATTAAGGATCTTGAGATGGGGAGATGATCCTGGGTTGTCTGATGAGTCCTATGTAATCACACAGGTCCTTATAAGTGAAAGAAGGAGACAGGAAAGTGAGGGTCAGCATCAGAGAGAGATCTGAAGGTGTTACGCTGCTGGCTTTGGAGATGGAGGAAGGAGCTGTGAGTCAAGGAATGCAGGTGGGCTCTGGAAGCTGGAGAAGGCAAGGAAATAAATTCTCCATTAGAATTTCCACAAGGAATACAGCCCCTGTTGATACCTTGAAACCATTTTGGAGACCTTGGGTGGTACAAGTGGTTAAAGTCCTCACCTGCTAACCTAAGTTAAGTGGCTGCAGTCCCCCCAGAGGCACCTCAGAAGAATTGCCTGGAGATCAACTTCTCAAAAAATCAGCCATTGAAAACCACATGGAGCCTAGTTCTGACACACAATTTGCCTTGAGCCGGAATTGACTGGATGGTAACAATAAAAGGTAATGTAACACACTGATGTTGTTTGAAGATACTAAGCTTGTGGTTATTTCTTATAGCAGCAATAGGAAACCAATACAGTATTCAATCAGGAACCAAACCAAAATTCAGTGCCGTTGAGTTGATTCCAACTCCAGCAACCCTGTAGGCCCAGGTAGAACTGCCCTATGGGGTTTCCAAGGCCATAATCTTTAAGGGAAGAGACTGCCACATCTTTATCTTGTAGGGCAGCTGGTGCTTAAAGAACCACTTACTTTTCAGCTAACGGCTGAGTGCTTAACCACTGTAGGGCTCATTTCAATCAGGAAAACCAACATTATACTCTTCAAACTATCAAAGCCACTGATCTTCCTGCTCTTCCGCCCTAGGGGAGGAGGCCCTTCACCCCCACAGCAGCACGGGCAGCATCTCAGAGCCTCCCACCCAACATGAAGGGAGCCCCCAACCAGACCTCCCTCCCCCACACCTAGCTTTACTAGAGAACTTAGTTTCTTCATTGAGTCTGTCTTCTCTCTCATCCTCCATAACCAAATTTAACAAAATTTCATCGATTCTACCTTAGAAAACAATGCAAAAATGCAACCCTCTGCTGTGGAGTCAGTCCTGACTCCTAGCGACCCCTCCTTTGGTTTCCGAGGCAGTATCACTACAGAAGTGGATTGCCCAGTCTTCCTTCTGAGGAGTGGCTGGTGGGTTTGAACTTCCAGCCTTCTGGTTAGCAGTCAAATGCCTTAGGCAGTACTCCACAGACCTCCCACCTTAGCAAACCTTCCTTCAAACTATTTTCTTCTTTCCTTCTCTGCTGTCACAGTCCATGAGGACAGCATGACATAGGAAGATTAAGAACTTTGAACACAGAAAGACGCACAGAGTAGTTGAGAAATCTTGGGTGAGTTACTTAACCGCTCCGAGCGTTGGTTCACTCTTTTTAAGATGGCCGCATTGCTTCCACCTTTTGGGTTGTAATAAGACCTGAATTTGTGTCACACACAAGCATTTGGGGGTTGTTCCATTAATGACAGCCCATCTATAGATCAGGACCTCATCTGGTGCCTGGATTGTAGCAGGGGCATTCTGAGATGTTTCTTGCCTCCTGCTGCAACCCACACCCCAATCTCCTTTCTAAGTCGTACTAGAGTTTCATATTGAACCTGTCCCCACCTCCTCCACAGCTGTACTTGCCTCGAGCACTTAGAAATCTCCCAGGACACCTCCTGCAGCCACATCCTACATCATTTGGCATTCACATTTCTTTGTAATCTGGATCTGTTAGGGGTGGGATTGTTTCCCTCAGATTGCGTGTTGAATCTTAACCCCTTTGCCTGTGGATCAATCCCATTTTCCTTCATTTCCTCAGGACCTGCTGCAATGCCTGGCATGAAGTAGAAGCCAAGTGCATTTTGCTGAATGAGTTACTACAGGCTTCTCTCATTTGCCTGGATGGACACCTCCCCTCCCTCCCAGGGCAGACGCTCTCTGCCTCCTGCCCTGCCCTGTAGGACTGAGCTCCTGAGCCCCACTCACCTGGGACGCTGACGAGGAGCACAGCTGTGAGCAGCCACATGACACAGACTCCCGGGCTTCTGTCCCTGCCCCTGTGTCTACAGTTGGCAAATCCTGGGCTTCCCCTGGGCCCTCAAAGCTCTAGCCTGGGCCCAGAGACCTGTACCTCTGCATGTCCAGACTGCCTTTGAGTTTCATACGCATTCACTTCCTTTTCTAGCATAAGTATTTCCTGCTTTGAGTTATTAAGCAAAAGGATGTTATTTATTGGTAGGGCTGGGACACGGCATGATCGTGCTCACTCGGTTGGGAAGAGGAGTGAGCTGTGCGGAGTGAGGAGGAGCAGGAAGACGGGGTTCTGCAGAAGAGCCACAGGAGGGGGTGCATCTGGGCTATTGGATCTTGGGCACAAGATATACTTCAATCTGGGCACCAACTCTGGAAATGATTGTACACTACAGCTATGGGACCGGCAGCAAGGAACCCCAACTCAGGGGCCAGGTGGGCCATACTTGGCAGACCTTGAGATGTGGATGCCTCTGCTCAGGTGTTACAGCCAGGTGGATAAACAGCTCACTGAGGGCCCGGACAGACCTGGGCTCCAACCCCACAAACACAACTTATGAGCTGTGTGATCATGGACAAGTTACTTAAGCTCTCTGAGCCTCAGTCTTTGTAAATAGGGCTCATAACAGTCATTATGAGAGTTAAGTGAGAAAACGTATGTGAAATTCCGAGGAACCACCACTGCCCCCTCCTTGATGCATTAAACTAAATCCTCTGCCATTGAGTTGATTCTGACCTATAGTGACCCCGTAGGACAGAGTAGAACTGCCCCATAAAGTTTCCAAGGCTATAATATTTGTAGAAGCAGACTGGCTTATTTTTCTCTGGTGGAGCAGCTGGTGGGTTTGAACTACTGACCTTTTGGCTAGCAGCCCGATATGTTAACCACAACACCACCAGAGCTGCATTTTGCATTGATGTTGTTGTTAAGTGCCATCAAGTTGGCTCTGACTCATAGCGACTCTATGTACAGCAGAACTAAACACTGCCCAGTGCTGTGCTAACCTCACAATCCTTGCTACTCCTGAGCTCATGGTTGCAGCCACTGTTTCAACCCATCTCGTTGAGGGCTTTCCCCTTTTTCACTGATTCTCCACTTTACCAAGCATGACATCCTTCTCCAGGGAATGGTCCTTTCTGACAACATGACCAAAGTAGGTGAGACGAAGTCTGGCCATGCTCACTTCCAAGGAGCGCTCCAGCTGCACCTCATCCAGAACAGATGAGTTCATTCTTCTGGCAGTCCGTGGGACTTTCAGCATTCTTTGCCGACACCACAACTCAACAGCATCAACTCTTCTTTGATCTTCCTTATTCATTGTCGAGCTTTCACATGCAGATGAGGTGATTGAAAATACCAAGGCTTGGGTTAGGCGCACCCTAGTCTTCAAAGAAACATCTTTGCTCTTCAGCACTTTAAAGAGGTCTTTTGCAGCAGATTTGCCCAGCTATAACATCTGATTGCTTGACTGTTGCTTCCATTGGTGGTAGAACCAAGTAATATGAAATCCTTGACACCTCAATCTTTTCTCCATTCATCCTGAGGCTGCTTATTGGTCCAGTTGTGAGGATTTTCATTTTCTTTATGTTGAGGTGTAATCCATACTGCAGACTGTAGTCTTTAATCTTCATCAGTAAGTGCTTCAGGTCATCTTCACTTTCAGCAAGCAAGGTTGT